TATTGTACAAGTTGAGGGAAAGAGAAAAAAAAAGGCAGAAAAGAGAAAAGAAAGAAAAAGAGCTTCGATTCATTGTACTGTTTGATTTCATTTTAGTTTTTAATGATAGGGCCCTTTGATTTTTTTTTGAGGCCCTTTGATTATTATCATCGTCCTTTGTTATTGGTTCTAAGTCTATCTTTTTTATAGATAGAAAGAGAAATATACCATGGCGGTGTATTATAAATTTAAGAGTGCAAGAGATTATGATTCAATTCCAATGGACGGTCCTTTCATCTCTGTTGGTACATTGAAAGAAAAAATTTTCGAATCCAAGCATTTAGGGAGGGGTACCGATTTCGACCTTGTGGTCACCAACGCCCAGACCAATGAAGGTTGGTTCTGATTTTGATTAAACTATTGTCTTTGAATAGTGGTTTTGGGAGCGATCACATGAGTGTGGGTTTTAGGCATTAAAATTCGGGGCTTAATTTTAAAATTTAAACAATTAACATTTTGCATATTCTTTAGCTTTGAGGAGGGGTTTCCTTGGTTAAACTCTCAGCATTTATCCTGTACTCTCCAATTTAAAATTTTTACTAGTCCTATTATCGTATCTGTTTTTAAAATGAAATAATTTTGGGTTGAATTTTACCTTTCACTCTCATGTTTAAAATAAAATAAAATAAAGTAAAAAAGAATGCTTAAAGTTGAAAGGGCATAGTGTTGACCCAGGTATTAAGATGAAGTTAGGCTGCAGTCTAGTAGGAATTACAGATGCCCAACTGTGCGGAATTAGTATGGTAGTTCATGTTGTAGGCCTTTCATGAATAGCATATTTACAGTGTTTTATAGTTATCTGTTTGGATTTTCAGAATATCTTGATGAAGAAATGTTGATTCCTAAAAACACCTCAGTGTTAATTCGTCGGGTTCCAGGACGGCCACGTTTACCAATTGTTACTGAACTAGAGTACTATCTCGAACCTTCAATCTCATTACTGTTGATGAAATTTTTTCCACCATTAATCATGCATTGTGTTTGTAAGTTTGTTAAAATGGACATTCAACACTCAATAATTTGTATATAATAGGCCCACAACCAGAAACTACTTTGTTCAAGAGAAATTCTGTTCTTGAGTTGCAACTGTCTTTTTTTATTTTTTGCAGACAAAAGGTGGAAAATAAAGTGGTGGAATCTGAACCAGAAAACAGAAGCTTTCCAGCTGAAGATACATCTGCCATGAAATATGTGAGTCCCTTTTCCTTTTGTTTGTTATAAATAATAAACAATTCAGATGCAATTCCTTGGAAATTGAGCTCTTCATACCACTTAACAGCCTGAAGATTCAGATTGGGATGAATTTGGCAATGATTTGTATTCAATTCCTGATCAAATGCCTGTTCAATCAAGCAACTTAATTCCAGAGGCTCCTGCACCTAATAAAGCTGATGAAGACAGTAAGATTAAAGCCTTCATTGATACTCCAGCCCTGGATTGGCAGCGGTGAGTAGAGTATCCTTCTCTCTTTAGTTGTGTTGTTTGATGCATGGATTCATCATAGAATGGGAATAAATATAATATTAAATATAAAATAATATAATGATAATCCACAAGAAACACAGAGATTACTAATTATTTCCAACCTGCATGAAAGAGTATTACCATCTCTTCAAGAGGAAATGGGGATTCCTTAACACTGAAAAAAACTGTATTGGAATAGTTATTTCCATGTTTTTCCTACGAACTAATACTATGGTAGGATATTCAATGATGGGTGGGATGGAATGAGATGGGAATGGATATGATTGAATAAAATTACCATATCATTGTCTGCATATTTTAAGACGGAATTGGGTAAGTTTTCATTTTGTTGTTATAGGAATCAGAAATGAATGGAATTGTAAGATCAGTAAGCAATATGTTAAGTCCTTATCACGCCAAATGTGTTTTTGTTTGGGGAAAAGATTTTCATTATGGCTTTATATTTATGTTGATGTTTTTGGGCATGCAGTCAAGGTTCAGATTTTGGCAATGGTAGAAGCTTTGGAAGGGGTACAGGTGGACGGATGGGTGGTGGACGTGGTTTTGGTGATTCTCTTTCTCTATTATATATATGTGTATATATATGTGTATATATATATACATACATATATATATATATACACACACACACACACACATATATATATATGTATATATATATATATATGTCTTAGTCACTTACTGCTTTTAATACAAACTTTAATATGTTGGTTAACTAATATGCTCATTTACTTTCTGAGTCTGGCAGGGATGGAGCGGAAAACTCCTCCACAAGGCTATGTATGTCACAGATGCAAAGTGCCTGGTAAGTTGATGTTTCTGAACTTTCTAATCACCATCTGCATGCAAATTGCTGTATAGCAATGTCGATTTTACTTGCTTATTTATTTTTCTTAAACTTGTCTAGGACATTTTATTCAGCACTGCCCTACAAATGGTGACCCAAATTATGACATGAGGAAAGTCAAGCAACCTACTGGCATTCCAAGATCCATGCTGATGGTAAATCCACAAGGTTCCTATGCTTTACCAAATGGTTCAGTAGCTGTTTTGAAGCCTAATGAGTGAGTTCATCTTTATCATTCTTGTCCATTCTGTCATATGTAAACATGATATTGAGTTTCATCGTTTCCTTGCAAACAGGGCCGCATTTGAGAAAGAGATAGAAGGGTTACCCTCAACACGTTCTGTTGGGGACCTACCACCTGAGCTTCACTGTCCCTTGTGTAATGAAGTTATGAAAGATGCTGTCCTGACAAGCAAGTGTTGTTTTAAAAGCTTTTGCGACAAATGTATGTTTTTCATTCATATGATGTATTTATAGTTTTCAGAATTTGAATATTATGCCAATGTTTCTTTAGTCTATAACAGAACAGTTTTGATGTTTTGTGTCGTCTCTGCTTTTTCTTGCCCTGAACTATTGTGTAAAATTCCCCCTTTCAAGTTATGTAATGTGATTCTTAAAATTTCTTCAGGTATCAGGGACTATATAATCTCCAAGTCTGTTTGCGTATGTGGTGCAACAAACATTCTTGCAGATGATCTTTTACCAAATAAGACACTAAGAGATACCATCAATCGTATATTGGAGTCAGGCAATAGCAGTGCTGAAAATGCCGGGAGCACTTTCCAAGTTCAAGGTTAGTGAAGCTATTAATATGTCTCTTGCACTATTATTTTGATTTTCATTTAGTCAATGCATACCTGTTTTTTAATTCCTTTTTTTATTTTTGATTTTTCAGATATGGAGTCTGCTCGCTGCCCACAGCCCAAGATCCCATCCCCAACCTCATCTGCTGCGTCCAAGGGAGAACTGAAGGTTTCACCTGTTAATATAGAAACAACAAATATGCAGGAAACAGCTGATGATAGAAAGGCTGTTTCTGCTCCACAGCAGGCATCAGAGCAAGTGAGGAACCCCAGAGTTGCTGATGTATCTGAAGCTACTCATGAGTCTATGAGTGTGAAGGAACCAGCCTCACAAGGGAGTGCTCAGCTGGTGGAGGAAGAAGTGCAGCAAAAGTTGGTTCCTACTGAGGCTGGTAATGTAGATTGTAGCTATGTTCCTACTTTTTTTGAGTATGGTTTGGAAAAAAATCAGATAATGAGACACCATTGGTTGGACTAGCAAAAGTTTCTCTTATTTGTTGATTTTCTGTTGAGGGTGATCTCATTTGTTTTTAACTTTACAGGAAAGAAAAAGAAAAAGAAGAAAGTCCGTTTGCCCCCAAATGGTAAATCTGAATTTCTGACATGAATACCAGTATCTGTAATTTTCTTTCTGCATCTGGTAACACAATAATATTTAGTGGTTGAGGGGGCATTACTTATGTTTCTAATAATTTGGAACTTTTTTTTTTATCTATCCTGCAGATATGCAGTGGAAAACCCCACATGACTTTGGGGCTGAGAACTATATGATGCCAATGGGTCCACCTCCTGGGTATAATTCTTACTGGAATGGCATGCAACCTATGGATGGATTTATGGCACCATATGCTGCTGGTCCGATGCAAATGATGGGTTATGGTCTAGGCCCCTTGGACATGCCATTTGCAGGTGGTATGCCTCATGACCCATTTGGTATGCAAGGTTACATGATGCCTGTCATGCCACCTCACAGGTAAATATTAGTATGACTTTTAAAATTGAAATTCAGCACTCTCCTTGCTCCCCCACAACACATCCCGGACATTTTATGTCTTGTTATTGCTGAGGGAGGGGGATTAAGGGTAGCAGATTGAATTCTTCTGGTTAATTTGGTTGCATGTTTGTCTGACCCTATTATGTCTGGTTCAGGGATCTTGCTGACTTCAGTATGGCAATGAATGCTCCACCCCCAGTTATGAGTAGGGAGGAGTTTGAAGCCCGTAAAGCTGATCTGAGGAGGAAACGTGAAAATGAGAGACGGGCTGAAAGGTACACAACCACCCTTGGATGGCAGGCTGTTATGTGCTGATATGTGTTGAGAAATTATCATCTGGCTTTTGAATATTTTTATAAGAAATTAAACCTCCTGCATACATTTAATGCATGTGTTTCATTTCAACATTTTCTTATTTTGTTTCTTGACCAAGGAGATTAGGATTTTTATTTGGACACAAATATTCTAGTGTGGGTTTAGTTTTACTGCCTCCCTCCAAAATAAGGAATAGGGGTACTATGTTTTGGTAAAATAATTGCAAAACACTACGTAGGATACAATATATTCTTGTCATTGTTTTATGAATTTAATTGCCAAGTTTTTCAAGGTAGTTCTCTCGACTTAATGAGTTTATTTCCTTCACTGAACAGGGACTTCTCCAAAGATCGTGACTTTGGTAGGGAAGTGAGCAGTGTTGGGGATGTTTCTTCAATGAAACCAAAAACTGTATGTTCTTTTTATTGTCTTAATTTTGCTCTCTTTTTCCATGGACTTTTATGTGTCATTCACTTTTTTGGGTTTTTCTACTGGAACTTTGGCCAGAAACCTCAAGCCTGCAAAAGAGCATTGATTGCACAAGATAAATCCCACTTAATATTTTTGTTTCTTTTATTATAGTAATATTTGTCAGTTAATTATTGGCTTCATTTATTGATTAAAAGATTTGTTCAAGTGATACTCTGGTTGATCTTGAAATGGTTGAGGGAGCAACATAATCCTATCCTGTGGTCAACAGCAGCCAATTGTTTTAAAACCAAGTAGTGGATATAGTTGCGTCTGCACTACATGATAATTATGTCGTGCTGTTATTAAATTTTCACGATCCCAGTGACAAAGGCTCTCGTGATCATTTATCCAGACTTGTAGACATGCACAAAACCATAAAACAGATTCTAATATTTAAAATCTTTATTTTAACCTTTTCATCCTAAAGCTTTTTCTTTAGGCTATGATTGGGTGGGCTTTCATGTTTTTGTTGATTCATGCAAGATAATGGCCAATTTTTCTGTATCTGGCTTTGCTGTTCGTTGTTAATGTTTGCTGTTGAGGATGGAATTAATTGGTTCATCAAGTTTTGAGATTCCTATATTTTGGTTATTTGATTTTGAACATAAAAGTTGTGTAGCATGTGTAATAACTAATTTATGGGATGTGAGGTTTTCAAGTTAGTTTTTCATTAATAATTAATGGGCTAAATGTGGGTATTGATCCCCAGTGAGAGTTGACACAAGATTCTCATTCATGGGGCGGCTAAAGGATCTGGTAGCATATTAATTTCTGGTTATATTTCGTTATATTAACGTCAATTTTTTTCTTGCGGGGAGGTGGGCTTGATTCCCTTGTCATGGATTCAGATGGTCCCGCGAGGTTTTAGATGTGTGCATAATTCTTGTGACATCATAAATTCACCTTTTATGTGCAACAAATGGGCCATGTAATATTTTGTAGAAGAATATTGCTTTCCCCCCTTTTTTTTAAAGTTTTTTTTTATTTAAATTTTGTTGAATTTTTTTAAGTTGATTATAATTACTATTAAGGACTAGAGGGGGACACGGGGTATGGAAGCTGGAGATAAAGTACCGTTTTGTTGATTATTTAGCCCAATTGGCTGTGGCGAACACGAGTGGGCTTGTGTTGGGCCGCTTCCTCTCATGCACAAAACTGAAGTGAACTGTAAACAATTACGGCTGTAATGTTTTCTAAGTGGCTGACTAAACGAATCGCGTGCGTTGTAATTGGCGTGGTCATGGTTATTCTGTTTTGTTGTTTCTATGATATCCCAATCGAGTTATTGTAAACTAAGATTAATTTATTCACTTTCTGAAAGCTTAAAAAAAAAAATCTTGAATAAATGTCGGGAACTATGCCAATTTATTGCAATTAAATTGATTTAAGCACGAATACGCTTGCATTAGCTTTTGAGAAGAAAAGAAACAAGAAAATTGTTCCTGTATTAAAATCTTTAGTGATTTTAAAGTTGTCATTTTAGAAGAATTGCATTTTATTTTGGTCCAATGGTGCTGGTTGGTACTGTTATATTTGTTATATTATTTTAATTTAAAAGAGTCATATTTTAGGAACAGCAGTTGTCTACCTATTATAAGAATTGCTTTTTTATTTTTTATTTTGGTGCAGAAGTCAATTCCACCGTCTTCGGCTAGCGATTACCATCACCACCGTTTCCGTTCGGAACGGCAGTCACCAGATCGGTCTCCGCGGGAGGTGGAGCCTCCTCGTCCGGCAAAGAGAAAATCCGATCATCACTCGGATCGCGAACGTGAAGAGAGGGATCGGGACTACGAGCACGAGCGCCACCACCATCACCGCCACCACCGAACAGAATCCTCATCTAGAAGGTCATCGGAACCAGTAACCAAAGCGTCATCCAACGCAGCGTCAGCTGCTGCAGCGGCGGCGGATCGCAAGCAGAAGGCCAGCGTGTTCTCCCGTATAAGTTTCCCGGCTGAGGAGGAAGCATCTAAGAAGAGAAAGGTCAGCGCTTCTTCAACGTCGGAACCAGCTGCTAACGCTGCCACTGCCGGTGGCTCTTCGGCACATGTCAAGACTGTGTCGAACGGATATTATGAAGGGAGGAAGAGTAACGCCGTTGCGGATTACGAGTCCAGCGACGATGAGCGGCATTTTAAACGGAGGCCGTCGAGGTACGAGCCGTCTCCTCCGCCTCAGCCCGCCGACTGGGAGGAGGAAGGAAGACATTCAAGAGGATCGAGGGAGCGCAAACATAGGTGACAGACATTTTTTATACACTGCAATGCAACTGCTACCGCCGCTATGCTTGCTCAGAGAGACCATGTGATCCTCATCGCCTACCCAACACCATTTCTCTCTTTCAAAGCTTGAAATAAACTTCTTCTTGGAAGGAATTTCAATGTAACTTTGTTGCTACCAACTCCCATCAATTTTCAATAATTTCGCCATGTAATATTATGACTGTTTTATTCAAGTCCAATGAATCTGTTTATCGTATACACAACCTTTTTTTTTTTTTTTTTTTTTTTATCCATGACGTCAATACTTTGCAAATGCAATCTTTTTTTAAGGAAATTATTGAATTGCTTTATTCCGATTGAGTCTGTTTGTTTTGGTGTTAATTACATGCATTTCTCTCAATTTTGGATGGACGTTAGTCAAGTAGTTTTAGATGTGAAGTCAAACACTTCACGTTATTTGCCACTAATTGGTCCACTGCCACCGGGACTACAAACTAAAGGTTAAATTATATTTTAAAGTCTTTATTTATATTTAAGATTTAATTTGATCTCATTATTTTTAAATGGTTCAAATTGATTATGTGATTTTTTTAAAAATATTTAATGTTGTTTGTTCATTTAAATTGATATTAAATAATGCTAATGAATTTTGATGAAATTATAATATTAAACATTTTTTTTTTAAATTAGAGGATCAAATTATTATTTTTAAATAATATAATTAAATTAAACATTTTAAAAATAAGATATTAAATAAAAATATCTCTAACATTCCAAACACTTATTTTAATTAATTATTATTTAATTTAATTTTACTATTTTTAAAATATTTAATTTAGTTACACTATTTTTAAAATATCTAATTTGGTTCTAATATTTTTACAATAGTAATTTGATTCTCATTTTTTTATAAAATGTTTGACGTCCTTTTATCTAATTTTGTTAATACAGTTAGTGTTAGTTTAGAAGGAAGATCAACATTGGATCTTTTTTTAAAAAAAAATTAAGGATCAAATTGAATCATTTAAAAATAGTGGGATTGAATTAAATATAAAAATAAATAATGGGATAAAAAATATAGTTTAGTTTAAATGAAAGTACAAGATACAAATATATGTGGGACATTCTTTTTGAGGTAGTAAGCTTAGCGAGAATGAAGAATACATTGAAACTTCGGTCAACGACAAGAGGGTTGCTCAGCGAGCTTGGGCTCTTGTAATGTATTTAAGTTGTGTTGAATTAATCCATTTTGATCCATTTGGGTGGCTTGATGTTGTGATATTTTAGGATTTTGCTTAGGGTGAGGTTTTGGGTTTTTTAACTCGTCATGTTGGCTCATTTATGATGTGGTTAGGGTGTTGTATGACCAAAGTGATGCTTTAGATGGACTGATTTTGGGTTTGAAGGCCCGAGACTGCTTTGCATGTTGAGGACAAATTTTGCTTAGCGAACCTTCATAGCTTGAAGATTGAGCTTTGAAATTGGCTTAAATCCTAAACCCTAAATTTCGAGACATAATTCAACTAATGATACGATTTTGTGTATTTAAAAGTCTATTTTTCAATTATATATCCTTTTTCCATTTCAAATTCATCCTTACTCTCATATAATGATTTTTCATTCTTGTCGATCTTGGCATTTAGTTTCTTGGAATTATATAATCAAAAGAAAAGAATAAGGTTCAAGTTTAACTTCTAAATATAAATAACTATCTTTCTTTTCTTGTTTGGAGCTCTCCCATTAACACCAAAGTACTCATGTACATTCATCTTTGTGGATTAGTTCATCATTTAATTTAATATCTCACAAGCCTGTGAGGTCATAGGTATCTATGTCTCTTATTTTCTCTACTTTCTTTTTTACTCGTCTCAAGTTGAAAGTTATATTTGACATGCATAAGTGCAAAATGGAATCATAGATAACCTTCTTATTTTCTTCTCTTAGCATGCACTTGATTAAATGTACTCCAATTCTTCTCACATTATATGGCACCACACGTGAGACTCAAAATTCTCATGACTTTTTGTTTTTGTAGCTTTTTACCTCCAACTTAAGCATAGCTCTCCCACCAAAGAGCTATGAAGACATAAAAAAAAAAAAATTAGAACTCAATTATCATGAAGTTAAACAAATGAGCTAGTTATTATTATCTTTGTAATGTATAAATGGTAAAGACCAAAGAGATATTTGGTTGCTTCTTATCAAGTATATATTGTCATGTCTATTTCGAAAACCCCCTTAACTTTTTTAAGGATGTGTTTGTTTTAAGGTATTATTTTGCATTCTTAAGAATGAAATTTCTGAGAATATTATAAGTAGGAATATTATTCCTTGGAATGTTTAAAAAAATGTTAGGTTCATTTTAATATTCTTATGAATATTTTTAAAAAATTTAAAATAATTTAAATAAAAATTAATAAAAATGTTACAAGTGTACCTTTTTATATCTCCATGAGAATAAATATTTCTACTTTCATATTCTTAGAAATAGAAGAAGATGGCATGAAACAAACGCCCTTTTGAAATTTTGAAATTGTTGATCTAGTGTAACTCTTGTCCTTGTATTCTAAACCATTATTTAAAAAGTATTGCATAGGCCAATCAACATTTTTACTATTTGGATAGAAACTTTTGTCATAATAATATCTAACCTAATAAAAAATAAGGTGCTAAATACAAAAGAGATATTACTATTTAAAATGACAAGATTAGTTATAGATAACTTACCTAGTTTTAAGGTAATAGGCATTTGCTTGAAGATGTCTATGTAGCTGCAAATTCCATTTAGTGTCAATAATCTTTCACACTTTTTTATATTTTGACTCTTGCATTTGAAAATCTTTAGCAATTTTCTCTTTAACTTTATCCATTGGTTCATAAATGTATAACATGACTAGTTTTGAATCACCATTTACAAGTCTTCATTTTTTAAATTGGAATCACACATTTTAGGCGATATGTGATTTAATCTTCAAAATCTATTACCATTTAACACAAGATTCATAACTTATCTAGCTTATTTCTATGATGTAAACATGAATTTAAGAGCATTTTTTTTTTCTACTTAAAGTAATAGTGCAGGATAGGAAATTGCAAACCTTGTCATAGTTGATCTTATCAATTCCTTTACTTTGTGATGTTTCATATACAAATTAAGGAGCCATGTATGCCTTATATGTATGTAGTAATCTTCTTTGCATTGATGATAATATTATAGAATATCAAAAGTTTTTTAATATTTTGAATGACCAATTCAAGATTGTGCAATACAAAGGGACCAAAATAATTTGGTTCTCTTCTCCAAAAACATCACCAATCCATCAAGCTAATTTTCCAACCCTCTAAATTTCACAAAATTTAAACCTTTTTTTTAGGATTAATCCCTACATGACCAAGTAAAGGTTGTTTTAAGAGAAAGTTGTTTTCAATGCACAATTAAACTTTGGAGCACTAATTTGGATGAAATTGTTAGTTTTTAACTTAACCAATCAATTGATAGTTAAATCAAGGAGAAAATGATTGAAAACATATATAAGTATTAATCTTAGGTTTCTCTTAAACTTGAATATAACATTTTAATTACTTATATTTTAATCTTATTATGGAAACTAAAACCTTAGACAATTGTCTTACTTGGACTATACCATACAAATCCAATTATAATGTATAACATCTAGTCATTTGGGTAATGATATTTAGACTTAGTCCATTATTACTTTGTGGAATTAGATACGCTTATCCATATGTGTGTTTTAAAATAGTGTATCACAACTCTTAAACTCCAATTCTTTTAAATTGTTTTAATTCATTCCTTAAACTTCTTCATTTCAACAAGATAACATCCTCAATGATTTTTTTTTTGTAATTATCTTATTGTTATGGAGTATTCACCAGTTTCATTGGTAACTAATATCAGTTATAGAACTTGACTGATCACCTTTAATTGAATCTCTTTTTTCATACTTAAAACTTGAACTCGAAACCTTACTTTAGAAGATTGAGTTCAGTTCCATTTGGACCAATATCTTATTGATATATTTGAATAATCCTTGATGAGTTTAAGCTCCACTTGAGATACAAAATATGTGATATTACAAATGTGTCTAATAAAGTGTTTAATAATTACCTCTATTTTACTTAACCAATCAGTTGTCTAAAGAGAGGTCTTGAAGTGATTTTCACTCTTTAGGTAGTCTCTATGTAGCATATTGGCTAACTTGCCACACAAAAAGATATTTATATGACTATCCAAGTGTAATATAACACACTCATTCTTAATGTTTGCATGTTAGGCAAGGCCTAAACATGTGTTAATTAGGGTTTAGTAATTTTTTTTTCTTAATTTCTCATTTTTAATATATTATTTTTATTTTAATATTTTAGAAAATCTCAATAAAAAAAATAAATTTATATCACAATATAAATTATTTATCATAAATATAAACTAAAATTTATATATTTACTCATTAAAATATTTAATCATATCATAATTTATATATTCATAAATATTTATTTATTTTAAATTTTATTTATATATTAAAATATTATTATACTGTTAAAATATTAGTCTAAATTTGATTTTATACCGTATGTTTTAATATAAAATATGTAATTAAGATTATTTCTTTTTACATTAAAACAGATAATTTTGAGTAAATTTATTCTAATTTCAACACTAAATTGAAGTTAATTAAGATTAATTTATACATATATTTCAATGATTATTAAAATCTAAAATTATTAAAAGTTAATTATTTTTTTAGAGCACATAAATAATTAATTATTAAATTTTTTTTTAAATGGCATGGTTCTAGTAAAACTACTCACAATAATTATTATACTTTATATAAATTATCCAGTTAAACGGGTCGACCCGATTACCGGATCTTACAATTGTAACGGGTTCGACCCGGTTCTCACGCCACTAGGTCAAGCAAATTTATCGGACGGCTCAGATCTATTTTTCTAAGAGTTGGACAGAGAGTGGCGTCTATAAAAGTTAGAGGAACTCTGAAAAACCCTAGTTCTTCGCTACTGCGACTGCGCGCTTCCGCACGATGGGTATTCCCTCTCTTCTCTTTTCTCTTCATTACTTGCTTTAGATTCGTTTCTCCATGAATGTATCCGTTTCGATCTCCCGCTTCATTGTATTTACTGGCTTGTCGCGTATGATAAGGTGGACCTTGTTTCACTCCATTTTGGAAGCTTTTTGTATTTGATAGTAACATTCGAGGAGCTGAGCTGTAGAAAATTAGTATACAGAGTGTGTGATTTTAGATGGATTTTAGTGTTTTCTTTTCATATCATTCGGTTGATTGCACCGACCAGATTTAAATGCTTTGCGATTTTCTGGTGCTTGTGGTCAAGTTTTATCTTTATTTTCCTTGTATCAACCTAAATGGAATGATTGGTTATGATATTTGTAAAGGTTGTGTGTTGTGTGAAGTTGTTTTGTTGCTTGCTCCTATTTCGGTTTTGTAAGCTGATCTATATTCATTATGCTGTTATAGCGTTCTGCTATTATATGTAATTAGGCATTTGATGTGTTGGAACCAGTGGAACATGATGAATTGTGTTGATTTTGTTTTGCAGGTGCCTACAAGTATGTTTCGGAGCTTTGGCGCAAGAAGCAGTCTGATGTTATGCGATTCTTGCAGCGTGTGAGGTGCTGGGAGTACCGCCAGCAACCTTCTATTGTTCGTTTGACAAGGCCAACTCGCCCAGACAAGGCTCGCCGCCTGGGTTACAAGGCTAAACAGGTAAATATTATTTTTGTGTTTGACATAGCCTTTAGTGGTTTATATATCTGTGTTTATTCATCTGTTAATTTTTATTTTCCATTTTTGTTTTGTGGAAGTTGTGTTGTATCATTTATTATTTATATTTTTTGTGCTGTTTTCCTTTATTTTTTTTTTTGGTGAATATTAGTTGAGTGTTTATCAATAAATAAAGGACATTCTTCAGCGGATGGTTATGCCCCAATATAGCTGAAGCAGAGTGGAGTTTTTGTGTAATTCCTTTCTTATTTAGATTGTCTGGAAAATGGGTCATAAATGCTCAGAGTAAATAAACCTTGTGATTAAAGCATAATTGAGTCAGGCAAACTTTTTTGAGTAGAAGACAACAATGTACAGGTTAAGTTTATCCTGATGCATATATATTTTCTCTTGTTGAAATTGCATATTTTTAGATGATTGGATGCTTCCTGAGATCGAACGAACTAAAATGAGCAGTCGATCACTAGACTAAGCAAATTCCCTGTTTACTAAATTTGCTTGTGTAATTGGCCCACTCAGTTTTTCACTAAAGCAGTGAGAATTGTGTTTAGTTCTTATTTAAATTGATTATGTAAATGCGGCATAACTAATTGTTTAGCTATTTAGAATTATGGTAAAACAAACCTTGTGAATTAATGCATGGTTAAGTCAGATAGGTTTCTATGAAAGTATCTCACAACTATGTGCTGGTTAAGTGGTGTCCTGATACATATGTATTTTCCCTTGTGGAACGTGCATATGTTCAATGATTGGATACATCCTGAAACATGCTATAGTAAAACGAGCAGTGGATCATCTGACCAATCAGATTTTCTTAGCAAATTTGCTTTTGTAACAGTTGACACAGTTTTTCTACATTGTTGTTTACTTCTTACTTAAATGTACATAGTTTCTGTACTGTCTCGTAATTGTTCATTTGATTATGCCTTTTTCATTGCTATCAACTGGGTCAGTCCTTATAGAGCTGTTGCCCTTTTCTTATTATTATTTTTTTTAATTATTGATATTGATTATATAACATTCCAGGGTTATGTGGTTTACCGTGTTCGTGTTCGGAGGGGTGGCAGGAAGAGGCCAGTTCCAAAAGGTATTGTTTATGGTAAGCCAACCAACCAGGGTGTTACTCAATTGAAATTTCAGAGGAGCAAGAGGTCTGTTGCTGAGGAGCGTGCTGGAAGGAAGTTGGGTGGCCTCAGGGTCCTCAATTCGTACTGGGTGAATGAGGTTTGTAAACATAACATTGTTGAAAGTGAATCTGGTTATGAATTGTTGTCTGGTGGTTGGTCTGATGCTATTGTTATGTGTTACAGGACTCGACCTACAAATATTTTGAGGTCATTCTGGTGGACGTTGCCCACAGTGCTATAAGAAATGATCCAAGGATCAACTGGCTCGTCAATCCAGTCCACAAACACAGGGAACTTCGTGGCCTCACTTCTGCTGGGAAAAGTAACAGGGGTTTACGTGGCAGAGGACATCTGTACCACAAAAATCGTCCATCCCGCAGGGCAACCTGGAAGAGAAACAACACCCTTTCCCTTCGTCGTTACCGCTGATTTTATTGCAGTTATCGTATGTTCCTTTCTTTTCCGAATATTATTTGGAGTGCATTATGTAGACTTTAGTAAATCGTCAGTTTTGAATGCTTGATGATGCAAGATTTTTGCAATGTGCCGGAAGTGTTTTTATTTATTGTCGTACTTTTTCATCGTGGCAAATCTCGTGCTATGGTTATTTTTGGAGTCCGACTATTTCTTTTTTTGTTGTTTACTAGATCCACCTATCGTTTCTTTGAGGTTTGAGAGGCGAAAAATCAGAAAATCAACGGCATAAAGTTTTTATTTTCGTTTTAATTTTTGGCGTAGTGATAATACTATAAAACACGGCGTGAAAGATGGAAATAGTAATGTATGTTTTAACTTGTTCCTTTATTATTTTTTTTATAGCAATGATTTGGTTATTTTTGTTAATGGAGCATTTTGTGATGCTTGATTTCATATTGAATTAACAAATAATTTTAGTATTATTATTTAAACGTGTTATTATTATTTTTTTGTATAACTGCCAAATTAATGGTTAAGTGATATAAATGATTTAATACTAGCTTCTGCTTCTGTATAAAGTATGTGGTGCAATGATTTTAATTTTAATTGCGATGTATAAGGCAAATCTATCTGGTATCTCAGATGAAAACTTGTTTGAATATGCAATTTTTCCCCATTTAGGATAGCATTTAGAATAAGATGTTTGTTGAGTATGAGAAGTTAACTTACTCAAAATTATAATATATTCATGCACTTATGTTAGTTAATTTTTCAGCCGTTTTTAATTTCACTTAATGTCTCGAACTTAGATACAAACAATTTTTTTTCCCAAAACAAGCTGACCCACTAATTGTAGTAAAATAAAATGTTAGTTATTAAATCTTATGACAGTAGAAAGTCACTAGAAGTAAGTTTTGAAGAGTTTAAAGTCAGATGTGAAAAATTACCAACTTTTTCAATTTAGTTCTTAAATTTGACCCAGTTGCCTTATTAGTTAATTAACTTTATTAAAATAAGATTAAATTATGTATTTTTTTCCCTTCCTGATATTTTATTATTTTTAATCAGTTTAATTTGGCCTTCTATTTTTTTTTTTTAAATATTCAATGTTATTATTTCGTCTAAATTGACATTAAAGATGTTAATGAAATGGGATGGAAAAATATCATTAAACATCAAATCATTTATAAATGTTAAGATTAAATTAAACATTCTATAAATAAAAAGATTAAATTGGACAAAAAATTATCTTATATTTTTGTTTAGATAAATTTAAAATTTTTAATTTATTTAATATTTTTTTATTAGATGATTTATTCATTTTGTAATACTTTTTTTTTTAATTTCAAGTACTCAAGTAAAAAAAATTTATCTAGAAAAAAATGTTTGATAAAATTTTATTTAATTTGATCTTATTATTTTTAAAATATTTAATTTGATCCCACTAATTTTTTTAAATGTTTAATGTTGTCTTTTAATATATTTTTATTAATGTTATTATTGTCAATTTAGATAAAAATGCAACATTAAACATATTTTAAAATTTAAAGAATCGAATTGAACTTTTTAAAAATAAGATTAAAAATATAATTTAATTTTCAAATAAAAAACAGTGCCTACATTTATATTTCATTTCATGGAAATTCAAAACATTAACTTACGTACTTTATCTTATTCAAAGCATTAACTTAGGTACTTTATCTTAAAGTATTGTAGTAACACTTTTGAAGTTTTTATTTTTTATTTTTTTAATCATGATATTAATATAAAGTATTTATTGTCTCTCAATCAAGAACTATGAGTATATATAAAATAAATATTTTTTTCCTATCATGATTTATTTTATATTTAAGTTTAAGATTTTAATTTTGAATAACTTAATTAAAATATATAAGTCGCAGTTACTTATAGAGTGAACCTTATGTCTTAGTCAACCGTACCGTTATTTGGCACCTTCATATAAGCCTACGACTATCTCTGCCTCTAGTGACTTAAAAAACTTCACAATTCAATTTCAAGGGTGGACTCTCTCACTAGTTACTACACATAAGATGGAGATCATCACCATGTTAGGAGGATGAAGAACATAACTCCGCGACATATGATTCTACACCGATCACTAATCTCATGCACAACTATTATGCAGTATGTTGCCACTTGCCACTGCATGATGGTTATTGAGGGAGAGAGAGACCTTCAAGATGGATTTTCCTATATTTCATAGTTAATGAAATGAACATTACCAAAGAATGGATTTAATTGCTCACATTTGTTTTGGTCATACCAATAACAAACATTACAAAAGAATGGATTTAACTTACTTTGCTGAAAAATTCTAGCTTGTTTATTTGGCTAAAACAACACAGTAACGGGCTACACATGCTTATGCATATCACATCTTCATAAGAAAAGATTCCTGCATGTTGTTTATTTGGCTAAAACTTTCAGCTGACTTCTTACTTTCCACTGTTTCAGTTTACAGAAAATGAGTAGCAGAAAACATAGGAGCTAAAGTTACCAGTTGACTAAAGTTTAGGTGGAAGAAATGTGAAGTTTCACAAATCATTTAGCACCTTTAATGAGGTAGAAAAGAAGGTATGGCATCCCCCATGAGCCTGCTCAGATACAAGCTTAAAGCGCTTTTGAGAATTTTTTTACATAAAAACACTCTTTATTTTCAGTAAAGAAACTTTCAAAAACGATTTTAACTTGTATCGAAACAGATTCTATGTCAAAGAACACACAACAAAAGAGACAATCACTACTTTCACTTCTAAGTTGGAACACTCAACTTTTGAGTCCATCCATAACTTCTTCAATAGTAACAAATCGACCATTTTCTATAGAGAGCTGTGCTGCAACTCCAATAGCAACAGATATTAATCCATCTTGGAGATCTACACTAGGAGCCTTTTCTCCTTTAGCTCTGATTGCAGACAAGAAGTTAAGGTGTTCCAGATAGCTAGACCCATGATGTAGCCCATCATATCTGTAAAATGAAAATCCAAGTCACAAAAGATTTCTCATAATAACAGGAGCCACTTAAATTTCATTTCACCATCTCAAAGCTTCGGTAATTGATGAAACATTTAACAGAGAAGCTACCCACTTTATCCTGGGATCCTCAGCTTTCAAAGTCTGGACACCATCTCGCCCCGCTTCTCGTGCACCAAACCGCACAACACTCTCAGGAACAAAGGCTTCTCCCTGTTATAAATGATTTATGTCGAGATACAAAGCATGCTAACATCTTGACATTTATTCATGAAAGAAAGATAGGTTGTATTTATTATAGTTTTAAATTATGCACCTTATCATTGAAATGTTGAACTGAAGCATAACTGATCAACCTTATTGTATCTTGATCAAAAAGTTACCACAAAAAATACAATTGAAGATAACAGGTAGAGTGAATGGTTGATAGGGAGAGAATTTTACCTTCCCAATATCACCAACAACAGATATTTCTTGCTCATTTTTACTCCCCTCGGCAAACATACAAAGGTCAAGCATTCCTCGAGAACCATTGTCAAATTCAACTATAACATATGCATTGTCAATGATATCTGGCACCTGCCCAAAGTAAACCAGTGAATGGCAATAATAACATGAAACAATAATGTTTATAAAAAAGCCATGTGCCGATTACTCTTGTCGCACAGAAGCACATGATAATATATTCCAGTTAGAACTGTGACAATATGAACAAAAGTCCCTAAAAATGAACATTGAAAAACAGAATATACCATAATCCTCATATAGGAAAAAGTCATAATCAGTATTTCCTCACGGAAAAAGGACAAACACCAGGGAACCTCAACTTTCTCTAACCAAATCTTTCAAATAATCACATATCAAGTTCTAAAATTCTCCCTAGCCTGTGAGTGATGGGTGCACAAATATACATTAATAATATAT